AGGGTATACAGTAGTGGAGAGAGGTAACCATGTATTTATCCTGATCCCATTTAAATGTCCTTCAGAATGATGTGATTTTTGATCCTAAGGAAATTTTCTTAAGCTTACACAGTAGTGGAAACGAGTAACCATGTATCTGTTTTAAGTGTCCTTCAGAATGATGTGACTTGTGGTTCTAAAGTAAATGTACTAATTTCTATTCACGTCACAATTTTGATTTATTGGCTTAGATTTCTATAATTTTAACGCTAGAATTATCGACTTTTGTTTGTATGTGCAGTGGTGCAATGTATGTATTTTTCTATAATTCAAAGGTAACATGTAAAATTATATTCTTCTGTTGATCTAACTATAACATAACATTATAGAGAAGTATATCAATGAGTACTAATCATGATATGCAAATAAATTTAGGTATTTACTTTACAAAGGACTCTAATGAGGGCCATAATTATTGTGCTTGTCCAAATGTTTAGACGGGTTATTAGGACGATAGCCCTTTACGATGGCTCGACGGAACTTTCTTATACCTGTTGAAGTATAATACACAAGTATTGTATCTACAGTAACAGTTATTAGTATTTAGTCGTGATGCCTCGGGTAATTTAGTAGTTTGGTCGTGATTTTTAGTGTAATTAAGAACATATTTAATAATATAAGAATAAATATAATTAAGAACAGTCAGTCCGTCTTCCCTTGTTTCTAGATATACATACGTAATACATACATACATACGTACATACATAACTAGCACAGGTACATGCATAGATAGGTAGAAAATGCCTTACGCTACAAATACCAACATCAATATAGCTAAGTCTTCTACTTTCATTTGTATATTTGCTGTATTTATCGATAATCGTGCAGGATTAAAAGTTATCTCTCTCTTACCTCTGTTCTTCAAAGTTATGTCGTTTTAGTTCGTTAAGAAATTTAAATGAGGATCACGATCTCATTGTCCGTGTCTAAAGATTCAGATGGGTAACTAAAACGACAGTGCTTTAGGATGGCTTGAAAAAATATAAGAAATGTGTATTGTACTTATGTTTCTTAGTGCGACGTAAATGTGTGTTTCGATATTGCATGAAATACAAATCTGCACTTCCATAAATTGCAGACTTTCGCATAATTCATAAAATTATAGACTTCCTACGTACTACGAAGACAGTGTTAATTCGATTGAAAACAGTGACTCCAATTTCCATTAGAAAAAGATCCTCTCTCATACTTGGTGTAAAGCTTGGAAATTCGCTCCTTAACACCAGGAGCGGTCCACTCGTGCTGACATTGTCGGAGGAGAGCCCTTTAAAGCAGCGTAATCCACGCAACGCGGCGTACAGACGTAAACGGCTTTCCTCTCTTCGTCGCGCCCTCGATATTCATCGAGCATCCTCTTTCGCATGCGTGGCGGCTGCGGTCGCGGCGTTGTTGGCCGGCTTCACTGGTCTGAATCGGAGCCCGAAGGTGCGGGAAGATACGAGGGGCGCCGGCAGGGGGTGGTTACTAATTGTCCGAGCCCTTCACCCCGCGGGAGAGCCCCCTCATCAACGCTGATTGCCTAACTCTAGGACCCTCGAGTTCTGTCCTCACGATCCTGCCGGGAGGATCCTCCGGCATGTCGACACGCTCAGATCGTTCGAAACACTTCGCCGCGCAACCGCCTCGCGTTTTCACCCTCCCTACTTATACCGATTTCAAAAATTTCGTCGCGACACGCGCTTTGTGTTTCGATGGAGAAGAATCCGACTGTGCCAATGTTCATCATATGAACAGCAGTTGGCGAGAGGTTTAATAAATCATGGTTGGGTGTTTGAAGCCAATTTACCTCGGATTCAAAGTTTAGGAGTTTGCATTCTTTTTATAAACGGCACACGCTTTGTGTTTCGATGGAGAAGAATCCGACTGTGCCAATGTTCATCATATGAACAGCAGTTGGCGAGAAATCGTTGGGTTGTTTGAAGCCAATTTACCTCGGATTCAAAGTTTAGGAGTTTGCATTCTTTTTATAAAGTAGTCGAGTTCCTGTTATTTTAGCTAATATTTCTTTTCTCCCTTGAAAACTGCAAATGTAGAATTTGATTCTAAGAATTGTTTAAATCTGTGAAACGGTACAAGTAAACCTGGCTTCACCTTTTTGTAGCAAAATTATCAGGAATCTGCAGAGTTTCACAGAGTCCATTAAGAGTAGCTGGCAGTCCAAGGGGCTCGTCAAACAGCGGCCCCATCGTTTCCCGTGTTGAAAAATCGCGAGGCGAGGAAGTCCGTCGTCCGATTCGAAAGTCGATTATTCCGCCGGTGATTCGGGGGAGGCGTGCTGATTTTTTTTCCCCTCTCTCTCTCTTTCACTTCGGCCGCCACGGCCGCTGCTGACTGCTGCTGACTCAATTATTCGTCGCGATTCTTTGGGCAAACATTAGTTAGCGCCGGCCGGGCCCCACGCGAGCACGGATTGCCTTCGATCGGTTTGGCTCTCGGTTCGTGCGGCGACCCTTCATGGTTGTTTGGTTCCGTTGTCTACTCGTCAACGAACCTTGCCTCACGGGGTGTTAGCGCGGTTCTCATTTCCCTTTCAGCTAATTCACGTTCACATTTTTTCTCCTCGTGCAAATTTAAATCGTGCAGATTCATTAAATTCTAATATTGGCGTTTTGCGAATTCCATTTAACCATCTTAGGCCACTTAAATATCTCTTCTGTTTTTTATAAGCAGAAAGAGAATGGGAAGAAAAAGAGAGAGAGAGAGAGAGAGAGACAAGAAGATAGAAAAAACTATATAAGGTAGACGTTAGATTTAGATTTTAATACACCAGCATATGTAATACTGGAGGAGACAAAACTATAGAAAAGCAAAGTAGAAGTGGGAACGAGAGCACCCAAATACGAGGAGAAAACAAGAACACATTCGGTAACAAAAATAATAAATAAAGGGTGCTGAAGGGGAATCGACGGGAACGAATACCAAAACCTGGTCAAATCGAAATGGGAGCAAATAAAAGCCAGATATTACAGACAGAAAGAAACAGATGAAACTAGAGCAATGGAGAAGAGAAACAGCAACACAGGAAGGATTTAAACATATAGATACAAGAACATAAAAAGAATAAAAGGCAGCAGATACAATCCAAGATACAAAATAATTAAAGAAGAGCAGAGGCCGGAATACTTAAAATAAGAATACAAAGGCAGAGTTCAGAAGATAGTGGCGAGATTTAAATGCGGAAACGAAGAAAAGATGAGTAGATATTGGAAGGAAACAGGTGTCGCACATACCTGAAGGAGTGAGAAGGAGTCAGAAACGTTAAAGTACAGTACAATTTTGTAGGAACAAATATTATGACGATTATACAATGTATATATCAAATATTATAATATTATATAGAGACAATTATTGTATATAGAATAAATGTAAGTATATTGTGAATACATTAGCACCATATGTACCACCCTTTTTAAGTCCGATAGGGGTGAAATAAACCATTACTACTACATATATGACATAGCATAAAGGAGTTGAATGAAGGCGATTTGAATCAGTGTCCGATCGACCGCCGAAAAAGCGACACGAGGCCGGAATTGAAGCCCGTTTTTTTAATATTCATTCTATTTTCCCCGTTGGCATTCGTTATCAGAGCCGATAACCTGTTCGGCCCGGTTTTCAACGGGAAATTCCGATGGTTTTCTTCGACGGACACGCGTCAAGAATTATATTCGATCCTCTCTCTGCGAGGATTGAGTTATACCATGTCACCGAGATTAACTGTCCCCGACGTGTGCACGGTGTTTGACAAACGTATCCGGCGTATCGAACGGCGAAAACGAAAACACGTTGCCCACCGATAATAAAAAAACAAGGGAGTTCGGCGTCGAATATTTGTAAAAAAAAAAGAAAGGAACGCGCGGTACAGAGTTGTTGTCCCTTGTACTGTACTCCTGCAGCCTCGGTTATGTTTCAACGGTGACATAGTGGCGGCAATGAAGGCTTCGGCTATCGTAACGCGATATCCGGCTGCGAACGTCGAATTTCGAAGCATTCGTCGTCGCGTTTGCCACGCGGAAATTACCGTCGCCCCAAATTTCACGACACCGACTCTCTTTTCCCGCGTTTGAATGATTACTCGAACCTCGGCTGAAAAATACGTTGCAAAAAGGGAAGTCCATTTCATCCATTTCGAATACGGCCCTCCTCTCTTTGAATTCTTTCGACAAATTATATTAAAATTCGGTATTGCGTATATTCAGGATGAAATTTAATTATTTTTTTAATATACTCAACACAATTTATTGTTTAATATTCTATCACGTTTACAAATTTGACTTTATATTTTCGCACACGATATATGTGGAACTTTCCGTTTATCAGCTTGTTTAGCAATAGCGGAATTTTAAAGGACAAAATTTATGTACATTTCAGTTTCTTAAATAGGACAATCTAAAAATTTAATAAAATGGTAGAAATAGAAAATTTATTGATACTTTGTTGCTGAATGAATTTCATACGAGGTTCCAAATAGTAATATAAAAAAAGGAGTTCGTTTGTGTTGAGAAAAGGATGAGAGACACTGTCGTTCTGCTGGCGTATCGCTACTAATACAGATCTCACGCACTCCCCTCGATATAAACCATTTTCTCTACCCTCGTGCGCGCCGTATGGGAGAGGCCGTGCGTGCGTGCACACGCGGGAACCTCGAACGACCGCGGCGGAACGACTATTCAGATTTAAATCACGATCAAGAAAAAAAAGATGCATGGATCCCCCCACCCCTCCCGTTGCCCTGCTACTGAAACACCGTTTCAAACTCTTTTCATTGGTCATAGCAGGACATTTAGTTTTTCATACTACTCGATTTCAAAGTGAGCGATGACAGTTAAATTTTGGAATCAAAACTTATTAATTGAATTCAATAGGACGTTCAAGCACGTTTTAAGAATTATTTAAATATGGATAATTAAATGGTTGGGAATAATTTTTGGTGTTATGGATTTAAGAATTGTAGTCAGGTGTTGGATTTGCAGATTTCGATTTTATTCACCCCATATCACCATCTGTTTACATTAAATTAGATCTCTGGATTATAAATAATATCGTCATCTTTGTCTTTTAATCTCTCTGGTGTGATCCACGCGCTCATACACATATTATTCAGTACAGATGAATTTCATGTACAATATATATATATGTATATTTACATATATATATATATATATTTTGTTTATATATACATATATATATGTTAATAGTCTCTTCGCGCTAGGATTATTGTCCACGAACTATCTACATATATGTACAAAAAATTATTTACAATCAAAAACGATTCGGGTTTTAATACCCAGTATACATAAGAATCGGATCTAACCTAATCAAACCTAACTCCTCGAATCATCAACCACGTACGATCTGAAGTAGTGATACAAATGTTCATTCCATACAATTGTTTTATGCGCCTTCGTAAAACCGAAGACGTATAAAATAACGAACGAAGAATAAATCATAATGGAAATCTGTCGATCTCTTCTCGCGAAGACAGTCAATAATATAGCGTCGTCCTCTCGGCATCGACGATGTCTAAGTAATCACTAGCCTTCCATCGTGAGCGTTCTTTTCTTCTTTCACCGTTTCGTCTAGTAGGGCCTCCAGACCGGTTTAGTCGGCGGCGGCGGAGAAACTTTCGTCGGCGGCGGCGATCTCTTCGGAGATCGCGAGATCAGCGCCATGGGTGCCTTTAATTCGTTCCTACCGATCTCCGGTTTCTTCATAATTCTCTCAGGCGACGACGAGGACGCCGTGATAATGGACGACGTCGGCGTCGGCGGTAATGTATTCAATCTGATCGGGACGAAAGCGCTGCGTATCTCCTCGGCCGCTGACTCGCTTCCGGACTCACTCGGACTTTTAGGCGGCGTTCTCGAAGGGCTGGTCGGAATGGTCACGTGGGTTGTCGTCGCGGTACTGGTTTTCGGTGCAAGGGCCGCGTATTCCGCCGTGTATTTCACGTCGAACGCATATGTTGGGAGAACCGCCGCCGGGGGAAACGGCGGTGGTGGAAACAAATCCGGTGTTGGCATTGGAATCGTTCCTGGAAACAAAAATTTAACGAATCATTAGATGAGAATTTATTGCTTTTCTCTGAAGCGAAAATAAAATAAATAATGAAATTGATGATAAGAGGAACGCGGTCGAATCATCGGTTTTAAATTCTTCTATCAGAAATAGAAGCAATACACAATTTATATCACTGTATTGTTGAAGTCGTAACTATTATTTAAAGTTGCATGGGTCCTTAATAAAAACAATGAAAAAGCAAGTTTTGATGCGTTATATTAACCCTTTGACTGCGACGCTATATTCCAATATCAGTCGCTGTAACTGGCGTACATATACGTCTGTCGTAGTCAAAGGGTTAATAAAACACTGCAAAATTTAAAAAAAATTTCGGGGCTAGTAAAAAAGTTATTACATGTTTAATGAAACTAAAGTGTCAGAATCTACACTAAATTACACTCAAACGATAAAAACGTAAAAAATATAAATATAGTATATTAGTGTACAAAAATCGGTAGATTTAGTGTTAAGATAATAAAGGCACTGGAGGAGCGAGAGCGATCGCTTTTAATGTAAATACTCGCATAGACAAGAGGGAGAGAGAAAGAGAAAAGATAACAAGTTTCAGAGATATGGAAAATCGGTTCCTAAGCGTGAGACTCTGTTAGATTAAAAATAGTTTTACGTTCTTGTTTCTGTACAGCAACATGTATAGCATGGACATATTCACGATTGCTAAAGATTGCCACCATTGTTAAAGTTTGGCTGATAGGAGATGTAACGGCAATAAGTTGTACTCTTAGAGCATTATACTGACGACAATTTTCACATGTGTTTAAAGTGTCGAGAAGTCGTAGAAAGTGAGAGGTATAATTGATAGACATGTCGTCCTTTTCTCGCAACACGTGATCGGTTGCTACCTTTCTCCTTCAACTTGTTTTGAATTCTTTACTGACAAGTATACTTATCCTCCATCGTTATTCATGCTTATGAAACATGCCGAATAACTATTGTATCTTCAAATTGTGAAATACAGAAAGACAAACATACAGGGATTTGAAATTCAAAGGAAGTTGAAGGAAGACGGTTGAGGCCAATACTGTGCTGCGAGAAAAGGACAGTATGTCTGTTTTATTAATTATACCTCTTTCTATGACTCCAAATTTCAGACACATATGGAAGCTGCCTTCAGTAGTAAGATGAAATGTACAGGAGAATGAATTCGAAAGTGTAGCCGAAAGAATGCTGATTGAAGTAACGGAACAGATACAGTGCACTTCGCTTCAACGCAGTTTCGGGTAAAGATTGATATATCCACGTGAGCTTACTCAGTTTTTCTATTTAGGAAAAGAAGTACTGCGAGCAATGTTTCGTCCTTAACGTCAACGTGTCTACAGAAAGCGTTATAAAGGGTGCCGCAGAAAAAGTGTTAAGAAAATAAAAGAATTCTTTATAGAATGTTTGCCATGTTCAAAAATATATAAAATATTAAAAGATACCTATTATAAATTAGATAGATAAATATTAAAAGAGTACCTATTACAATGTTTATAAACGTCTACTTGGAATGCATCTTTTTAACCAAGACGATGGCTGTTCGATTTTGTATAAAAGTTCAGTCTATTCGAAAGACAGCCTCTTCTCGAATATAATCGATTATAAATAAAAGGTGGATTGCTATACTTGAAATGTTATAGTGAATTGGAAATTTTTGTAGAACATTTTGGAGATGCATGAAAGAGAGAGTTTCGTGGGCGAAGGGAACACGCTAAGTCTTATTGTTGTTTAGTTGGTAGGGTGGTTGATTGTACGGGGGGGAATTTGGAAGGGTGTTGTGGGAAAAGGGAGCTCAGGCTCTCTCACCCCTCGGTCCAGCAACGAGCTGTATGAATCATCGGCAGGCATCGCGGACTACGAAATCGATAACACGCGGGACTTTCTCTCGTGAACGAACGCGTGTCCTCTCTTCCGTGGCCTTTTTTCCCCGATTCTTTCGGGCCGCGCGCATTGTTGCCCTTTGATTGATTGCGACCGGGATGGGGATGAAGGGCTCTGATGCGAGCGATTAGGAACGTTCCGCGTGACTGCTACTCTCGATCATCTGAGACTCTTCATGCACCATTCCATACGCATTCGTACTCAACAATTTGTTCGGTAAATTTTCGATTTTAAAAGTACATAAATCGTTTTGTAGATGATTTAACGAATTGAGAATTCGATTCACTAGTAAGATAAATATCTGAATTAATGTTCACGTATCAATTTCTAGCCATCGTTTCATTTTTTTATAATTTTATACTTGAAATGTCTCAGGGAAAGATTAGTAGTTTGCATCTCTCATTAATGATGAGAAATTGGTACAGTACTTTTAAATGAATTGTTAATAATTTTAAATGAATGATTAAAAACAATTACCTTTGACGAAAGCCGGGTGGGGTAAATGCCAAGCGGATAGGTATCCGACATCGACCCATGGATTTAGTAGTCCAAGTCCAGGGAATCCGGGCCCATATTGATAATCTGCAACCAAGCCAAGAAGAACTCCCTTAGTACGATCGAAGGTATTCGAAAATAGATCAGAAACGCGTGCCTCTCAAGCGATTACTTCGACCCTATAAATAACTATTCCAGGATTCAAGGTATCCCCAAAACCAGCACCCAGGCAACCTTGACTAACTTCTCTCTTCATCGATCTAACATTTCCCAAAGACTCAGTTTTAACTAGAGTAAAGCAGGAGTTTGCAAGAAATTTATTCAAAACAATTCCCGGCCCATTTAAGCAGAAATTAAATTAGTACAAGTATTGTGATTACTCCTACATTTCTCTCGTTTGCTCGCCGTCGATGTAAACAATCGAAATAAATGTCTCAATTCCTGTTCACGTCACAATTTCTATTCACTGGCGTATTTTCCTAGGATTTAGCACGTGAACAAAAATTGGCACATTTGCCTTATAACCTTTGATCTTAATTGCAACCTGCTTGATTATATTCGCAATGCAAATCCTAACTAACTAAAATTCGAATTAGAAAATTCCAGTTAAAAGCCTGACTACCTTGCAGTTTTAATTAAAGTATTCGCATTTTCCTATAATTCTAAAATAACATGATTGTACAAATTATAAAAAAATATTCATTCCTGTAACTTTCACAACATTTCTTTTCGAACTAGCCTTGAACGTTCGTTGAAATCTCGACGAAAGGGATGGAAAGGAAATACCGCGGGTACAGTCTGACCCAGAACGGGTTCCACGTGGGCGGCATAGAATCCGCAAACGGGTGTCGGGATCCTCGTAGGCGTTTAATAATCCGGTGGACCTCAAACCGCGGCTGTCGTGCGCGGGGTGAGGCGGTCTCGCGGAGAACTCGTCTACACGTGTGCAACAAGGTTTGTGTATGTGCGCGCGCGCCGGCTCACGCACGAGGTGCCTAAACGCGTGAAAACTCCGAGCCGAAACTGGCTGTGTACGCGGCGCGTCGTATAATTCCACGCGTTGGCAGCGAGTCAACCCGCGGCGGCGATCTTTCGGTCTCCTATTCGGTGTCTTCCGCGCTTATTTTCCGACCGGCATAATAAAAATCTTCCCATTGGCTTCGAGAACGCTAACCATGTCCCGCGGTAATAGGGTAATTTCGTGTTTACCGGGGCGGCGTTAGGCACAGCGAAAGAGAAGCCGCGGCGGCGCGGGTGTACACAGAGGAATATACGACGGACGCGGATCGTTCGTATGAAAAGGAGCCGCGTTTACGCGTTTGTTTATCGCGCCGCATATGGCGGTAGCATGTGGCTCGCAACCAGCGACGATCCTGTAAACATAGATCGCTAACTTGACTACCGAGACCGTAGTTATCCGAGTTTTATGGGAAACCCGGTACCAACCCCACACGAATCACTCGTTTTTCTATCTTCTCTTCATCCCTTTCTCAGTTCGTTACGATTTCTCAAATAAATATAGGGATCTCTTCAGAGCAATCTCTCTTGACAAATACGGCTGTCCTAAACGAACCCCCTTGGAGTGCATACGTGAAAATTTAATTTTCATCATATCAACTTCTTTTATAAGGGCGAAATATTTCAAAGAACGATTTTATCATTTTTTAAAGACTTATTTTAGATTTCTGAGAACTCTAGCTTCAAGGTTCGATAAAACCTCAAGGAGTTAGATTCTAATAGTCCGATAAGGCAAGATGTTAATATTACCCATAAAATTAGATGAAAATATAGGTTTATATGACTATATAAGACTTTTGTCTTTATACACATAAGAAGATTTTTAGGTTGTCGTCTTTAGAAAGAGAATCTGGCTTTGTCAATCAAACTGCGCTGATATTTAAAATCGTACATGAAATGCCCATAAGTTAAAACGTAATTCTATATCCAAATTGTATATCCATTAGTGTGCGAGGGTATGGAAGGATGAACAATTAAGTCTTTCAAGGTGCAAAGGCCAATAAGGCTAGAATAAATACTATAGTACTCGTACTTACAATGTCTTTCTTTATAAGCAATTTTATATCCAAAAGAGGTAATTCTGAATGAAATCAAAAATAGAGAACGCCAGACTTGACTTTTGACTTTTTATAGACGTCTTTGATGACCCAAAAATGTTCTATTTTTGCCTGGTTATCGATGAAATAGAGAACGTCGAATAAAGAAAACGTCGAAAGTTTACTGATAATTATTATAAAAATTACATGATTACCACAATCTCTTATATAAACAGTGACGAAGCATTGAAATCTTATGAATACTCTTTCGCCTCGCGACTCTTTCCCACGCGACAATAAGGAATCATAAACACGTGCTCGAATCGTGGCATTATTGTAAAGGTAAAGTGAATGTAAACGAAGGGTGATGCTAATTTTTTTTCGTCTCGAGTTAAAATTTCTCAGCTCTCGTGCATCTCTAAAAATGGGGTAAACATCCCGATTTCCGTACACAGTATAAT